GTTATATTTCTAACATATAGGAGAGTATACCTATACTCCGGGCATCCAAATCTCTATAAACATTGTTTGGTTCTGAAGAAAATGACCGGAAAAACATAGAAAAGAAAATGAAGTTAAATTTCAACTTTTTTCATTTTATTTTATTTAAATATTAGTTTAAAAATTAAGTCTAAAGTTCAACAACATAAGAGAGGAGAAAAATATTTTATTTTATAAGATAATCATTGAAAACGAATAAATAAACTAAAATTTTTATGATTTTTTAATAATGAAATTTGAAGATTTTTTTTTTAGAACGGATGGAGTATGAAAATAGAAAATGTGGGTAGGTCTCAACTTAATCTTCTATCCCTTTCACTCATGTAGTGTTCATCTAAACAATTGGGAATGAAATGGATGTTCATAATTTTAGAGTCTCATTTTGAAGGATGAACCCCATCTCCATGGTCTCTTCGAATTCGATCGGATGGTTACTGAGAGAAGGTTAATGAGACTTTAATTACAAATTGGTTGCAATGCGTAGAGCTTGTACCTAGTACTTGCAGAAGCTCTACGCTTAACATAATTGCCTCCTAGTGCAGTTGTTAGGAATCGAACTCAGATCTATCCCTTGACGCTCTCCGCCTTTGCCAACTACACAACGCCACCGGCTAGAGTCTCATTTTAAGCATATGTAACCCATAATGGTCTCATTTAAAACGAGAACTTAGACTTGCAATTAAACATGCTCTAACTAACGTTTTATATTGATTACTCTTCTTCCAGTGTATTTATTCAGTTTGATTTTTAAAGTCAAATTATATGAACTTTGACATTCATTTAAATAAAAATTGTAATGTATATTTGGATGAAAATGGTTTTATTCGATTCACCTTGTTGAGAAATTTTAAATTCCTTTTATTCTACAAAAATGCAATACGAATTGAGAGTTGTTGAAGTTCAAAATTTGTCCAATTTGATTTGAAAAGGTCAAACTAAACAAATATATTGCGCCAAAAGTACTACTTCCTCCATTTCTTTAAACTCTTCCACTTTTGACTTTTGGCAAAAATAGAAAAAGTGTAATTTTGGCTGAGTTTCCAATTTTGTCTCTGATGTGATGGGTAAAAGTAAGATGTGATAGATTGATTATTAGAGAAAAAGTATGATGTGATAAGTAAGGTATGAAAAATTAAGGGTAAAAGTGGTTTTTTAATAGAAAGTGGAAGTGTTTTAGGGAATTCAAAAAATATGAAAAGGGAAGGGTTTTGTGGAACGGAGAGAGTATGAATTACTTTCGACCCAAAACAAAGGGTAATTATGATATTTAACTAAAATTACTTTTTACAATTTAATATATTTTCAAATTAGTATAAAACTAAATAGTAATAATTACTTATATTTTGAAAACAACATTAAATAGCCGTACATAGCTTAAGAAACACATCGGGATACATCCTATACAGCTCCCAAAAACTTTGAGGGCTTTCTTTTGACACTCCTTAGTATTCCTTCCATCCCAAATTATTTCTCTTTATTTTCTTTTTGGGTTGTCCCAAATTAAATTTTGTGCTTACTTTTTAGGAAAGTTTTTGTGGCTCACATTTTTCTCCCTTTATCATGTCATTTTTAATAACACATTTTTACCTTTTTGAACTCTCTCCGAAATTAAATTGGGAAGATTAATTTGGAACGAAAATGAAGCATATTGAAAAGTCTTAGGATTGAGAAATGAGGAGTGAGTAATACTGGGAAATGGACGGCAAGGAAGATCGATGGACGGCAATGATTGATAATGTACCGTAGACGCCACATTACATTTCAACTCCACCAATCATCCAAAATCCAACCAACTCCACATTATGGACATACAGTTTTGGAATGGTTAATAATTTTCTTAGATATAAGTAAAATAGTATTTTCTCGATTAAAAAAAACATTCTCTATTTTTATTCTTTTATTTGTCTCAAAATATACTTCATTTCTCAATAATCTTTTTTATATACTAATTCTTACTCTCTTCATCTTTGAGTATTTGTCTACTTTTAATTTTTTTTGTTCAAATTGGTAATTTTTGACCTCGCATTATCACAGTTAGGACAGAGTAAGCTAGCAGTGACGTGCAATAGAGACGCACTGGCAGTGGGCCACGGTGATGGCGGCAGGAGGTCCTCACGAATGCGGCATAAGCTTCGGTTAACAGCCAATGGTTTCCGATTCATTCCAATATTTTTTGGTTCTTTATTAATGTTTTACTTTTATTTATGTCTTTTTCCCGTTTAATATTTTCTCCGGAGTAATTAAACTTTTGTTTTTGAAATATAAAATCACTCTTTGTCGCACAAAAAATGATAATCATAATTTGACTTTTTAATCATACTCTATAACCTTTTGATCTCAAATAAAATACTATTTTATATAATTAAATGTTTTAAAACTTTGATATATTAAATTCATATTTTTGAATGAACCCGATTTTAATAAATTTATATTTTCAGCAGATATAATTTTTTCACAATATATAATTAAATTGCAACATAATTGGACTAAAAAGGTCAAACTGTAATAATTTTCAGGGACAAAAAAAGTAAGTATTACCAAGTTTAAAGAAAAATAAATTTTTGAAAGGGAGTATTATATACACTGAGTGAGGCTTATATTGTCCCAAAGTCACATTTAAAATGTGGACCTTCTCACAATGTCATGTTTGGTGTGAGCGGAATTTAGGGTATGTGCGTCTCTATCAATATTGATGGGACGTTCGATGACAATTGATTTGGAATGAACGATGGTGATACATTGTAGACACGCTAAGGAATTTGAAATAAAAGTACTTTGTACAAATGGTTACCCTTTAGTGGGCCACTTGGGTGGGTTGGAATAGTTTAAAGAGGAGAGAGTCAACGACCAATTGTACCATTAATTCTTATCCATCCACATAGCAAAATATAGAAAAAAGTAAATAGAAAAAGGTAAATCCAAAGTCGGCAGTAATTCCCTACCACAAAGATGTGTGGATTCCGTCAAAAAAAAGTGTGGATGGGTAAAAAAGACAGAAAGCTTCTACTTCAATCTTTGCACCCAACTACTGACAAGAAGTCCCATGCCACTGTCCTTTTCACGCCTTCCCTTTATCCTCTCATATTGGAAAAAATTTAGAAGTACTCCAAATTAGTGTACCTCAAGTATATATCAGCTTCTGACAGATATAAATAGACATTGGAAACACAGACAGAGAATGTCTGTATGTATCTATGGAAAGATGGTATACACTTGAGTACGCCTAACAAACCGCAAAAATATTTCATAATTGATGGAATACGAAACAAGTGTAATTATGTAATTGGGTCTCACAGAAGTAGGATTTTAGGAAGATGTACATATGTTTTGGCCTTACTAAAATATAATTTGGTTTCAAGAGACCTCCAACTCAATCTGTATAAATGAAATGATCGTAGTATATACATAAAATAGGAAATACACAATACAACACATCTAATTAACACACCAAAGTTTCAAGCGCTTCTATCTAAAATCATATCCTCAATAAGGGCAAGAACTCGTAAGTCCTGTGTAATCACCTCCTTCGAACTATTTCTAAGTCTACCCATTCCCTACTAGTAAGCCTCTCGCATATCCGCATTGGCGCGTCACCATTCCGCCAACTCACACTTTGGAGGGCAATGTGACAAATGAGATGTATGGATGCATCATTTAAGTAAATTATTATTATTGCATCATTTAAGTGATATTTTTGACATAAACCCACATTTTTGTAACTTAATTTGACTTTTTCATGATTTTTTTACTTTGAATATTTTACTTGAAGTATTTATTATTTCATTCCTTTTTAAATAGTTGAATAATATAAATGTATGAAATCTTATGAATGTCAAATTAGTAGTGTTCCAAAATTATAATTTCGGTAAATTCAATTATATGAGTTAGAGTGTTGCAATTACTGTAAATTTTGTTCTTCCCGATTTTGTTGAAGAAATATAACACACATGCAACTAAAAACTCTTGAGTGACATGATGGATATCCAGTCCAGCGAGTGAACCGAGTAGGCCCAAACACGTTATTTTAAGCCCAATGCAATTAAGGGGCCGTGTTCATATTATGAAAAACAAGCAAGGACCAATGGGTCGAGGGAGGCAATGGCCTGGGTCCGGCCCACCAAGTCGGATTGGAGATATAAGTGGAGCACAATTCCATTGATCTTGAGTAATTGATGACTGATTTCTCACCCACAATTGACGCAAATTAGGCCAATCATGTCGATAATGTAGTGCACGAATTGCATACCATGTACATAGTTGCGCTAAACTATAAATGGAGGGTGAATCCTTCATTGTAACATAAGCTCAATCAAGCTAATACAAGAATTACTGAAAATATATTTTCTGAGAGTTTATCTTTATTTCATTATTTCTTCGTACCTCCATAATTAGTGAGCTAAATCCCATCATTATTCTTCTCATTCCTTTCATTATTGTTCTTATTAGCTTTTGTTCTTTGCACGCTATAATTATTGGACTAAATCTCATCAGATATTGTTGATTTTAATCTTGCATGAATCATGCTCGAGACTTTTGCACTTTTCCTCAGTATTTATCATCCCTTAAAATTAGTCTTAAAAAATGAGAATTACCTTACTAAGAAAACTTTTGGCCACACACACAAAGAAAGAAGTGATAATGATGACTTGCCAATTTGTCACTTACCTTAGAACTAATTTTAAATTAACTTCTTATGCCACAAAATCGAAACTTGTCCTACTTGTGACACCAAACTAGCAATATTTTAGCCTTGATCCACATTTATTTATTTGTAAATAAACTAAAATCCATATTGAACATAAAGTTGGTTGGGTGAGGCCGTGGACAATTTGCCCGAACCCAAAAAAAAAAGTTGCCCAAAATACATAGATAGGTACGGCGCAAATAGGTTAGGCCTCGCACTCTCTCTCTCTCTCTCGCTTCCGCGGAAACACAAGCCGACAAAATAAACTCACCTCACACATTTTCTTTCTCTTCCTCCTCCGCGTAGATTCACGCTCTCCGCACCCAATACGCGCATCTCTGTGTTCTTACATCTGGGCTTCTCTCTTTCTCCTCTCTTGGAGCTTTGGGCTGGTTCCAAGAACCCTAGAAATCTCACTTCTAGAGAAAAAGATTGTGTTTTTTTGAAAAATTATAAAAAAGATTGCTGGGTGAGATTCGCTAGAATGTTCGCTTGTTCTGGGCTACATATTCGTGGGTTCAGGCGCTGTTAGCTCTCTGGGTTTCTTTGTTTGTGTTGTCATCATGATGATGAGATCCGACGGGAAGGATATGAAAGCCTTGGCCGGCTCTTCCGGCGCCGTCTCCGGTCAGTTTACTTCCCTCGCCTCTGAATCTCAGTTTGAGTTTCAAATCCTTCTAGCTTGCTTCAGAGTTCGGGCTTTTAAATTTATGTTCTTACAGTTCATTTAAAAAATAAAATTTCTCACTGGTGTTTGAAATGGCTTGAAACAGATGCCAAAGGAATTGACTTTCTTTTAATAAAAAAATATTGGCTGTGATGCAGGTGGTGGTGCACTGTTTGATTCATCTCAGTACGCGTTTTTTGGGAGAGATACCCTCCATGAATTTGAATTAGGGGGTTTGGAGGAGGAAGAAGACAATAGTAATATGCCTGCTTATGATGTTGGAATTGGTTGCCGGCTGGGTGATGATACAATACCAGAGTATCATTTGTTTGAGAAAGATGAGGTATATTTCATGTTTGACTACTCTGAAACTAGTTCCAGTTAATTCCAGCCCTTACCCAATTGATGCCTTCTAAATCAAAGATGTGGATCTTGGTTGTCTGGCATAGTTTGGGAAACTTTTATTTATGATTATGAAGAGGTGAATTCTGTACACTTTGAGTATGAAAGTGAACATGAACCTTTTGAAATGAGTTTTTTTGTGCCCAAACAGTTCTCTTTTTCAGGATATGTTCTATGATACTTTTGTTCCCTCACTCTTATAGTCTTATGGGTACAGTTAAGGGATGTCTCTGTAAATAGATATTTTTTTTAGAACACCGGCGTATCTTTTTTTATGTTTGTTTCTTTAGGCCCTGTCTTACAATTTTGTTATTGCTTCAAATGTTGCACAATCATTTTTGTGTATGTTGTGTTTTGTTTTGTTTAATGTTTTGTTTCGTGTACGGAGTATTCATAATGGAGTTATTTCTAGTTACGACATATTATATTAGGGTCTGGCAACTCACTTAACTATTATCCTCTTTTTAATTATTACGATGCAGGGATCAACATTAGGTTCATTATCGGATTTAGATGACCTTGCCACAACTTTTTCAAAGGTTAGTTTATGGTATCTTTTACCATGATTTAATTTGTTTACGAAGTATGGTGTATATTGCAATGACAACAACCTGCCCTGTGAAAAAAAATATATTTACATTGCATTTTCAGATTTTTAAAAATACTTTTTCAGCTCTACCTTTTTTTTTACTACTTTCAGGCTGTTTCAATGGAATTTGAAATGGAAAGGAATCACTATATAAATCAATTTAAGCCTAACAGGGTCATTACAGAAAGGATATGTAATATGAGTTCTCATTCCGGTCTTTTTGGATGAACATTAACTTTGATGTTTTGACTTCCGGGCTACTTTGTAAATTGGTTGCATTATAATTAGTGTGACTGTGTGAGCATTATGCATGTTACAGACTTGAATATTGTTGTATTGATATCATCTTAAATTGATACGTTTGAAGTGTTATTTGCAAGGAATGGTGTATGTGTTCTACTGAATTGTTTCGGTAGCCTCATTTAACATTTTTAATTACTAGTCTGTATCTTTTACTGAGTATATTGTTATTGTTGTTACAGAACATGTTCCCCCTCTTCCCTCAAAATAAAAAGAAAAAACCCCAACACAAAAATATGATTGACCAAATATTCTTTCTTGTGGCTTTTCATTAATGCTGTAATTTTCCTTCGTTCCTTCCAGTTGAACAGAGTTGTCACGGGTCCAAAACATCCTGGAGTCATTGGTGATCGTGGATCAGGATCTTTTTCTAGGGAAAGTGAGTATTTTTTTAATATATTTAATGTTCATTTTTTTGGTTTATATACGGGTTGGCTATATTTATTTTTATGTTCGCTTAAAAGGTTATTAAAAAGAAGAAGCTTGAGAATTTTAATGTCTACTCCCTCCATCCCCAAATGAAATTTACAGTTTGATTTCACAGATTTAAGGGAAGGGTTGAAAAGTAAAAGGTGTTTTGGGGCAATTTGTTTAGAAAAGTGTGAACTTTATATTTCGGGACAGCCCAAAAAAGAAAATGTAAACTTTGTTTTGTGGCGGAGCCGTGGAGGGAGTCACACTTCTCAGATTTACTCCTACCTCAAAGCGGCAAAGAAAATCTAAAAAATTGGAGAAACGGGACCCCCCCTGAAAAAAAATTATTTTTGGATTTTGATATAAATTACAATCTTGCACAGGTTCATCTGTAGCAGAATGGGCAAAAGATGCAGAGTTTCATAACTGGCCAGATCAGCATTTATCCGACACTGAATGTTACCAGGAAAACAAAAGATGGTCTTCCCAGCCACACCTCTCTTCTTTGCATTTTGCAGAGTCTAAGCCACTGCACAGAACATCTTCATATCCTCACCCACCACAACTTCAGCCTCTACAGCACCGCTCCAGTGAACCTATTTTGGTACCAAAATCATCTTTCACTTCCTTTACCGATGGCAGATCTGAGCAGGCTTCGCCACACACTCTTCCCCATCACTACGATCTTTCATCGCTTGGTGGGCCACACTCATCTTTCTCTTCTTCAAACCTGTCAAGTTCAAACATACATTTTCCGGGACTGTCCCCCAGGCTCCACCGTAGTGTAAACTTACCACAACTAACCTCTTCCGGATCCTCTCTAAATAATAACATCCTGCAAAACCATTGGGCCAATCATCCAAACATCTTGCATGGGGATTACCCTAATCACTTGAACAATGTCTTGCCACATCAGTTCCCACATCAAAATGGATTGTTACTATCCCATCAGATGATGTCTCCCCAACAGCAAAGAATGCATCTTTCTGTCCAACCTTCTTTAGCCCATTTTTCTGCACTACGGTCCCAAGTGTATAGTTCTTTCCCTGCACCAGGTCATCTTGGTAAATACAGACCGCCTGATGCACGAGATTCTAGACCAAACAGTAATAAATCACATAAAAGTAAAAGTGTGCGGTTTTCTCAACAGGGTTCTGATGCATCTAGCCAGAAGACCGAAAGTAAAGCCTCACAGTTTCGTTCAAAGTACATGACCGGTGAAGAAATAGAAAGTGTTCTCAAAATGCAGCACACTGCAAACCATTGCAATGATCCCTATGTGGATGATTATTACCACCAAGCTTGTATTGCAAAGAAAGCTGCTGAGTCTAGGACGAAACATCGGTTCTGTCCAAACAAGGAACAGCAACCTTCGCGGTCACGTAATAGCACTGAATCATTGCCTCATCTCCATGTTGATGCTCAGGGACGCGTTTCCTTCTCTTCCATACGTAGGCCCCATACGCTTCTTGAAGTCCACCCTCCGGGCTTTGCTTCTACTGATGGGGGAGGTGATCGGAAGACATCCGACACTCCTTTAGAGAAAGAACCTATGCTTGCTGCTAGAATCACTATAGAAGATGGCTTCCATCTCCTCATTGAGGTGGATGACATTGACCGGCTTCTTCAGTTTGGTCAGCCCCAAGACAGTGGGGCACAGCTCAGACGGAAACGACAGATGCTGTTAGAAGGCATGGCAGCTTCACTTCAACTCGTGGACCCACTTGGGAAGACCAGCAGCCCCATTGGGCTGAACCCCAAGGACGATGTTGTCTTTTTATGGTTGGTGTCAATTCCTAAAGGCAAGAAGCTCATTTCAAGGTACCTTAAGCTCCTTATTCCGGGTGGGGAGCTTGCTAGAATAGTATGCATGGCAATCTTTCGCCATTTGAGGTTTTTATTCGGCGGGCTTCCCTCCGAGCAAGGAGCATCTGAGGCTATTTCTAATCTTGCGAAAGCGGTTTCAAAATCTGTGAGTGGGATGGATCTAAATTCGCTAAGTGCTTGTTTGGCTGCTGTAGTTTGTTCCTCAGAGCAGCCACCTCTTCGCCCACTTGGCAGCCCTTCTGGAGATGGAGCCTCTGTCATCTTGACATCAGTCTTAGACAGGGCAACTCACCTTTTAACAGATCCTCAGGCCTCCACCAATAACTATAGCATGCCTAACCCAGCACTATGGCAGGCATCCTTTGATGCCTTTTTTGGCCTTCTCACAAAGTATTGTGTTAGTAAATATGACAGCATAAGGCAGTCTATTGCACAGTCCCAAACAAGCCCAGAGGGCATGATTGGTCCAGAGGCTGCAAGGGCAGTTAGTAGAGAAATGCCTGTCGAACTTCTACGATCTAGCCTTCCACACACGAATGAGAATCAAAGGAAGCTTCTGACGAATTTTGCTCAGCGTTCCACGCCTGTTACAGGATTCAACGTTCATGCTGGTAACGGTGGACAAGCAAACCTAGAATCTGTGAGCTGTTAGTAAAATATTTCACTTCTGGTCCACAACTGTTGGGTCATTCTCTTTTTCAGCCACCCGCTTTCGTTTTTTTCACTTTCGGTGCACCACTATGAATTTCTTGTCAACAGTTTCCTGTTGATTTCACATAATACGTGAGTTGACGGGACCAGAAGTGGCAATAAACTCATAGTCATGCCCCAAGAGTAAAAAAAATGTAAACTTGGGACCAAAAGGTGGGAGTGATGTAATATTTGAGGGACAAGAAATCTTAATTGCTCATCGCCATTCTGATCTGCTATTGCTGAAGAAAGGGGGTATGCATAATTGGCATCTTTTTAATGCCAGAGACTCAATCTTCTNCCCCCCCCCCCAAAAAAAAAAAAAACTGTCATTTCCCAGCTTGTTGTTTTAGGTTAGAAAAAATAGTACTTGGTATTGTGTCGAAACGTGACAAGATGTGTCACCCAATCTTCTTTCCTCATAAGAGCTTTATTTTTATGCTCTTGTTGTAAACATGGATCATATATATGCTTCATGGTTAGAATGTACAGGTCTAGCCATGGAGGGGGAAGTGCACTTTGTTGCAGAAGAACATGCTTTTTAAGTTCTTCAGATGCCCTGTGAGGAGGACTCTCTCTAGGCTGGTAACTCTCTTCAGGACAAAGTTGTAAAACTTGATATTTATTTACATGTGTTGTAAAATTGCCAATTGGATCCAAGTGATGCTTCTTGTTGATTTGGCATCTTCAACCTTTACTCCCAATCTTCCATTCCCAATTTCTTTAGCATATTTATGTGGTTAATATTGTTTCTTCTCCCTTCTCCATAATAATGCATAAACTCAACACCATGGAAATTCAATGTAAACATATCCACTTTGACCACACTTATTTCAATGCTAAATTTATTTTAACACCTGATTTTGTCCCCAAAAGTTAAACACCTTGTATAGCCATGCACAAAAGGTGTCCGTCCTTTTGTTTTTGTGGGCTAATTGTCTCGTGGGCATAAGATTCATGCTCATTTTATAGATTTTAGTGTATTCGTAGCATAAAAGAAGTGAGATTTTTGTAAGAAATTCTATGCCAACTCATGAAATTTGTGAGAAAGTTCATATTTAAAATGTAGACTTTGAGACCATGTAAGCATCACTCTACGAGATAATTGTATATTTGTATTATAGTGATATAATACAATTATCCTTTCAAAAAAATTTATAATACAAATGTAAAATTATTTAGCGGCTTGCAAATGACCATGGCCCCTTATCGAGAATCGGAAAGAGAAATAGCCTCTTCGTTGGAGACTAAAACCTAGAAGACAGTCGGAGAGAGGCCCGACTGACTATAATTTCTAAATAATCGGAAAGATAAGGGACATCACAGATATAAAGGAGGAAGACCTAGCAAAAAGTTGAGGCTTGATGCTTCTAAGGTGGAATCTTACAAGTCTTCCGAAATAGATGACGATTCCCATCTCAGTGAAAGGAAGAAATCAAGAGATTTTACAAGTCTTGAACTCAAACAAGATCACCAGAATCACCCCTTATGGCTTGTGCTGATGGAAGGATTTTCCTCAAAACAATTTCAGAAATATGCAAACAACCATATGACTTCCTCATAGGCCAGAGTCTATGCACAAGTACAGATTGCCGCCTCACTCTTTGTATTCTTCTATGTCGCTTGGGTGGGAGGCCAAAACCCTAATTTCTCTTCTAAGCAAACTATCAAAGATCAAGCTTTCGAAAGAAGCAATCGATTTCATCCATGTTTGTACTGCCAACTATGGAAAAGTGAAGCTTATTCTTGTGAGGAATCGTTATTTCATTCAATCTCCCTTTCATGAGGTACTGAAAAGCTTGATGATGTTATAGGTTGAGCAAGACGATTAGGCAAAATAGAAGGTAGACATGGTGAATTACAAAATGGAGAAACTCATTCTTTTGAAATTGACCTTTCTGAGGTTAAAAATGTGAAGCAACGTTGCCTGCCGAATGCATTGAATTACCCAATGTTGGAGGAATATGACTTCTTAAATGATACTGTCAATCTTGATCTTGATATGGAGTTGAGACCCGAGGCACAACTACGTCCGTATCAAGAAAAGGGTCTGAGTAAGATGTTTGAAAATGATAGGGCAAGATCTGGTATTGGTGTCTCTGCTGCATCCAGAATAAAAAAGAGTTGTCTTTGTTTGGTAGCTAATGATGTGTGTGTAGACCAATGGGCCTCCCAATGCATCTTGTGGTCAACTGTTCTAGAAGGACATATTTGTCGTTTCACGTATGATAGAAAAGAACAATTTATTGGCAATGTTGGTGTTGTGGTGATGACGTACAACATGATTGCTTTTTGCAAGAAAACACTCTGAGGAGTCTGAGAAGATCATAGAAGAAATAAGGAGCAGGGAGTGGGGTTTGCTCCTTATGGACGAGGTCCACGTGGTCCCCGCTCACATGTTTCGAAGGGTCATCAGCATTACAAAATCATACTATAAGCTTGGGCTAACTATGACACAAGTCATAGAGGACGAAAGAATCACAAATCTCAACTTTCTCATTGGCCTTAAATTGCACGAGGCAAACTTGTTGAACTTTGCGAAAGGAGGGTTTGCAACAAACGTGTTGTGTGCCGATGTTTGGTGTCCAATGACAAAGGAGTTCTTTGCTGAGTATTTGAAAAGGGGGAACTCCAAGAAGAAACAAGCACCCTATGTGATGAAGCCAAACAAGTTCAGAGCATACAAGTTTCTTATGTGTTCTAATGAAGAATGCGGGGATAAGACTAATGTTTTTTCTGACAATCTATTTTCCCTCAAAGAATATCATCTACGGTGCTACGAGCCACCTAGAAAGAATAATGATCCTTAAAGCATTCAAACAAGAAAGGAAGACAAGAAAGACAATAACAAAGACAAGGAGGCGAACATCATTTTCTTGCAAAAAGTGGGTGATAATTCCATAGATATTCCTGGAGCAAACGTGATAATACAGATTTCATCACATGCTGCTTCAAGAAAACAAGAAGCCCAGCGTCTTGGTCGGATTATTAAGGCTAAGGGAAGCCTTTGAGACAAGATGGCATGTGGTAAAGAGAAGTACAATGCATTCTTTTACTCTCTTGTGTCAAGGGATACACATGAAATGTATTCAACCAAAAGACATCAATTCTTGATTGATCAAGGGTATAGCTTCAAGGTATCACAAGTTTGCCACCTCCTGGTAAAAAGGGACTTGAATTGAGTTATTATCTTCATCTGAGCTATACAAACATTCATTGCCTTTACATTAGACGCGATGTCAATTTGACATCATATGTTTCGGATGAAATTATTGTCTTCATCTGAGCTATACAAACGTTCATTGTCTGTGCATTTTTATGCAAGACACTATGTCAAATTGGAGTGTTAAAATGCATTTACAAAATCTCTTGCACACGTGCCAACGAAGTGGTAGGCATCCTGACTTTGATTAATGTTCGTTGAGATGACAAATATATAGCACCAAGCGTTGAGGCTTAAAGTGGAGCTTTAATACGCATGCTCATGTTAAAGTGGAGACCCACGTTAGGCCTTTCAAAGGTTTTCCGGTATATTCCCTTCGTCCATAATTAAAGTTCCCACCTTCCTTTTCGGTCCGTCCATAAATAATGTTCCCATTTCATTTTTTAGTAAGTTTTCTTTGTTAAAATGACTTAAGTGCCCTTCCTATTTCTTTTTTTTCTCTTTCATTCCTGCGGCAGCCCGCCTCCCTTTATCTTTCTTCTCATTTCCTTTTCTTTCGTGTCCTTTCTTCTTTTTCTCCAGAAACTTCCCATTCCATATTTTCTTTTTCTTCCTTCTTCCGATTTCTCTTCTCTCCTCCTCTTTTTCTTCTTGTTCTTATTTCCTTCTTCTTCCTCTCTCTTTTCTTCTCCCCCCTCTTCCGATTCCACCCACCTTTTTTTCCTTCTCCTGCTTCTTCCTCTCTTCTTCTTCTTTCTTTTCTTCTCACCTCCACCCTTTGGATTTGGTCCAGCCGCCCTCCATTTTCATCTCTTCTTATTTCTTTTCCTCTTTTCGATTTGATCGCTCATATCTCTGTCAGATATGAGAAATCCGATTCAGATCTGTAAGGAGATCAGCAGCAAGGAAGGATCTTCTTCATCTTCAGATCTTCTTCTATTCTTCCATCACGGTGCGGGACAGCTCGATTTGGGCCTGAAAAGATGCCCACGTGAATTCTAAAATGTTAAAGCTGGGCAAAATTTTCTTTGGCCGGAAAATTGATCTCTTCGGATCGTTGGAATTTTGTTCTGGCCGGTGGGGTTGGGGGCAGTAATTTGGGCAGGAATGCAGGATATGAATGAGTGGGGAAGTGGGATAAGGTGGAGGGTATTTTGGGAAAGTCAAAGAATTTTTATATTTTCTTAAAGTGCGTGTCCGGTCAAACCGGAACTTTAGTTATGGACGGAGGGAGTAGTTTTTTGCTTCTTTAATTCTTAAACTCTTCAAAAATTATGTGCGTTCTCTATGAATTTTAAAAATGAAATATTTGCACTAAATAGCACTAAATTTAAGTCATTTCCCTAAACAGCACTTAAATTATTTTATTCCGTAAATAACATTTAATAATGTCCATAATATCTAGTGATAGCTAACATTTACTTGAATAATGACTAATGGATAATGACTAAAAGTACTACATTGAGAAAAAAACATATGTGGTGCTATTCAGAGAAAATATTTCTGTTTTAGTGTTATTTACGTAAATTATCCTTTAAAAATGTGCCACTGGTTTCATTTTTTCTAAAAATATTGTATCAATGATTCTTCGAGTTTGGTTACTGACGACTAAAATGAAAACAATTATCTAAGGTTTATGTTTGGGAAAACATATTATATTACAAAACTCACATGTGATACATGAGCTTTAATAAATTCATATTTGCACCAGACGAGCATGTAAATTAACGCACACCTAAATCTGGCACAAAGAGACCATTGACACACCGTTTTTAAAAGTTTAGGGGTCATTGTTACAACTTTTAAAATACTATGACGCAAAACATCTTCTTTTCCTATATAAAACCTTTTTTATATCACGATTTTACTCATTTTATTTTGATTTTCTAAACACTAATAAACTTATTATAAAGTAATATATGTTTATATATTTACAATTTACAATCTATTAAAACACATAACATTACTGCCTTTAGTCTATATTTTCTTATTAAATGTTTACTCCGTGATTTTTATATTTGATGAAATAATTTATGATGGATCATTTGATCTTTTGATAGCAAGAACCAATGTCATATATTTCAAATACCTACAATATTCCCGTAGGTCTAAAAGTAGTTTTTATGCCCTTCTCTTTTCACTAAAACTCCCCACGCCAACCCCGTGTTGCAAAATCAGCTTGATTCCATAACTACTAGATTTCAGTGGCCACGGAAGTCACCGTCCATTACGGAGCTCTGTTCATAAAATTGATGATTCTCACCCCTCTAACCCCCCGCCAAGTCTCGATCCAATATAATCACCCCACCTACGTCAATTGCACCTCGTAAGTATAATTGACTTTAAAGTCAAAAGTTTTGACTTTATACTTACGAGGTGCAATTGACGTAAGTTGGGTGATTAGTTTGGGTTGGGACTTGGCGGGCGGGGGGGGGGGGGTTACCGGGGGGTTAGAGGGGATATGAATCATCAATTTTATGAACGGAGCTCCGTAGGGGAACAGTAACTTCCGTGGCCACTGGAATCCATCTAGTGGCCATGGAACCGGGCTCTTGCAATATTTTCAAGGAACATATGTTGTATTTCTCATGTATAATGCAGACATAGGCTATTGTGTATAAACTTCCATATGGATAACCGAAGTGAAGAATCAAAACCACTGAGACTAGACTTCTGAAGGACTATTATACAAATGAGGTGAGTAGCGTGATCCAAAATATGGCCCGATACAACTAAGGTCTAAAAGAGGGGTGTATTCAATCGAGATTCTGTAGAATTTTTTTGGATTTTAAAAGTCTGTGTGTATTCAATTGAGATTTTAAAAAATCATTTAAAATCTGTAAGTATTCAACGGAGATTTTATAAAATCTTTCTAAATGTAATGATATTGAAAAAATGATAGATTTTGAAGGAGTGTTATATAACATGGATTGTGAAGGATTTTAGACTTGAAGTATAAATAAAAATTTTGTTTTCAAATCCAACCAAAAGCCTAGGGATTTTGTTGGACTCCAAATCTGCCGGATCTTTCTCTCTTCTTCCCGCACGGTTCTTCATCTTCTCCGGTCATCCCCACCCTCGATCTCCCCTGCAGACCTAGAGTCCCAAAATTAAACAAGCAATCCCAGAGAAATCCCCAGCGACGGGTCAACAGATGGAGCAAGGACTCGAATTGGATCGGATTCGTGGCCGTGAGCAATGACGAGGAGACGCGGCGGATCGGGCGGAGGGACATCGCGGTGGCGTGGCGGGGGACGGTGACGCCGACGGAGTGGTACGAGAACACGCAGAACAAATTGCATCCGATCGGGCACGGAGATGCCCGAGTGGAGCGGGGATTCCTCGGCATCTACACCTCGAAGTGCCCGTCGTCGCCGTACAACAGATCCAGAGTCGGCAACATACCGTTCTGGGACGAGCTCTACTAGGTACTGTATACCATCCGAATACCAGGTGATGTCCCATGGCTGGAGGATGTTGGTGACCAGGAAGTTCCGCAAGTCTGTAGTGTTTCTTAGTGGTATTTGAGAGGTTTTCATTCATTATGTATTTGTGTGTTCCTTGAAGAATTGCAGTGCTTATTTGTAGTACTTATTTGCAGAATTGCAGTGCTTATTAGATTATTTGATTTTGCCGTCCTTGCTTAAATTTTTTTTTCCAGTACTTGAATTCTGTAGTGCTTATTTTATTTGTACTTGATTCAATATGGATGAACAAAAAAGTTGAACAAACATGAAATCCATCTAAATCAATAAACAAATCTCCTCAAGTATATAAAATTCCATGTAAATCAATAAAAGAGTCTTCCAAATTCTGCATGAGTTAATGGATTTTCTAAATCCACCGACTTCTAAAGTCCAAAAAAATCTTACAGACTTCTAATTGAATACATCCCCCTAAGTGTAGAATTTAATATTGTGTATAATCACTATGAAAAAGTGAATCCACACTATTGTTTAGTTCAATTCATTATTTTCTTTTCTATCCAAAATTTCAAACCAAAAATTTCAAACCAAAAATTTGATTTTCCAAATCAAATTTCACTAATGAAGGATCAACATCTTTAAAAAGAGTTTACTGAAGTCTCTGAGTTTAAGCAATTATAGTATTCCATCATCTTCTTATGTGAAAATGACATAAAGATTAAACTAATCAAAATCACGCGCTTAATTTTTTATAGAAATAAATATAATAAAATAAGAAAATATTTTTAAAACATCTATAAAGAGAAGTAAAAAGATGGTGCGTGTAAGAAAAGTACCCCCAAATAAATTGTACAACCAATTTGAGATGGGAAATATCTAAAGATAAACAAGTTTGAGTTTTGTGTTATCATTCCAAACATATACGGAGTATTACAATAATAAATTACCCAAGCGTTACATTTTCTTTTTGTATAGAATAGAAAATCCAGTCTTTGCATCTTACATAAAGAAGAAATTATTCATCTGTATTATTCTCATATTATCCTTCTTCCTATTCATAAGTCAATACACACATATAAAATAAAATTCATAAATTTCAAAACTAAATCAAATGTTGTAGAAAACAACTATATCACCTTTATTTTTTTGGATTTGTTTTCAATATGAAGAGAAATATTTTATTTAATTACCTTACAGTTTTTGCTTATTTTTTTAATTGGTTGCTAAGAAGTTAGGAAACCTTTGTTAGGGTTATAATTTGGGTGTTGCTAAATTCACCTTACTTTTTGTCCCTGATACATATTTATATATGAGAAACTGTTGTCAATTCTTATAAGGTGTTTGTTAATTAATAATTATATTAGTCGTGAACAATTGATACCAGAACGAGTTTATCTAATTTACTAGTAAGATCCTAGAGATGCCTTACGACTACAAGAGGAACACTTCAAGGTCTGAAAAAAGTTAGGAGAGTAAAGGAATACATCTAAGAGTAATCCATAGAACACAAAGATTTAATCTTCTTTGCATCACATTTGGTTCAGAAAGTGTAAAATAATAGACTTAGGTCCAATTCAACTTTAAAAATTAACTCGAGAGGTCGAGATACTCAAGTTATTATAAACACTAGAAAATTCGTGTACACGACCAATGTTGGATGGGTATAACTCAACACGCCCCCTCACACGAGGCGCATATTATTGCAAACGATTCTAACATCAATGACCTTAATTAGGTTCGATACCATGTGAAATAATAAACCTGAACTCAATTCAATCCTAAAAGTTAACTCAAGAAGTTGAGGTACTCGAGTTATTATAAACACCGGAATATTGGTGTACACGACTGATGTGTGAGGAGTATAACGCGACACAAAATGAAGATAGTAAAGGAAATGATTTAAGGGATTATTATCTCACATGCCAAATATGCTGAAAATCTTATGAAGAAGGTTTGATCTCCAAATGACTCTACATTCAAAATCAAGAACTCCAATGGCAACAACATGCAAGCTCTCAAAATATGAAAGTGTTGTGCACGCCGGGCACGAAACGTCCTCTCTAAGGACGAGATTAAGATTATAACACGATTTACTAAGGTGGATGCTAAAATGATGAAAATGATACTAAGGTGGATGCTAAAATTTATAGAGGAAGCATTGTTGTATCTAGTTAGTTGGAGTGTGTGAAAAAAGTTGTCAATTTTGTGATCTGGTAATGTGGGGATCTCCATTTGACCCGTGTTACAATTAGTGTCGTTTTTTGTGTGTATGATTACACTTCCTCATATTTAAAACATATAATGAATTAAATATGTACGTAGTGATATGGAATCCTTTTGTGTATCATCACGATGACATGTTGTCCCTCTAGACGCTCACCTCAATCTTGTATCGGTGTGCAATCATTTCAAAACAATTACACTGAGAATGCATGTGTGTGTGTCTATATACATATACACGGAATATAAATTTACATATTAAAGTCTGTGTGACTATTGTTTATTCGTAAAAAAATTCAAACAAAATCGGAAAAGGGGCTAAATTGAAACAAAATGAATTGGGGTACGTTTATTAATTAACATAATAAAATTGAATTTGAAATTTTTACAAGAATTGTTAATTTATAGATCACATTAGAATTGAGATTAAATGTGAGAAGTACAAGGATTGATTCAAAAAGACAATGTATTTAGTAATTCTCATTATCAACAATGAAATACGAGTAAATAGTACGGAGTACTCAGTACTCACTATTTTTTAGAGAATTCACCTACAACCTCCATTTAATTAAAACCTCTCTCATGAATATGATTATTTAATGAAAAATTCTTGGTTCACAAATAAAATAATAATAAATCTCATAAATTTATTATTTGTGAACTTCAATAAAAAAATAATCTAAAATAACTTTAAAATGAGAATTTAAACCATAAATGATAAATTTGTGACTATTGTATTTGTGAAGGTAGCATTGCTTTAAATTAAGTACTCCGTAATTGAGATGAATGAATGGCTTGTTAATTGCCTAATTATATTGGCAGTTTAATTGGGGGAAAGAAAATGAAAAGAACATGGTCCACTTCTCTTCCATTGCCAATTTATTCAGTCATTCATTTCATTCCACATATGTAGTTTACGTTCTCCAGCTCTTATTTGACTTCTTCTTCATCGCCCCTTCCCCTTCTCCTCTTAGGATTATTATAATTTATTATAATAATAATATTACCCTACTGATTTACTCCGTAACAAACTTGTCTTCTCTCCTCTCATATATATATATTTATTTATTGTTATTATTATTAATATTATTATTGATTAATTACTCCTTATATCATATTATTGATTAAAGTTAAACACATTCTTCCCACCATCTTCACAAAGGTTGGTTCTTCCTTCTTTTCTTCACTGATCACATGATTCATGTTCATCTGTACGGTTCTTGATTGACTTTCTTGATTTACTTTCTTGATTTTTGTTGGGGTTAGGGGGGATGTCTTGGTGTTCATCATGAGATGTAAACAAGGTTCCTGTTTTTTTCTTCCGACGTTTTTTTCCCCATAAAGCATTTTGTGTACAGGTTCACTTTCTTGAATTTTTTTCACCCTGCACAATTAAAAAGACCGTAATTTTAGCCCTTTTCCAGGTTTTGATGCCTTGTTTTTTTCGCGATGTGTTTGATTAATTAATGCTGATTTTTCCATCTTTTTTTCTTTCCCGACCCCACAAATAATGAATTTGTTGTGTGAATTGAGGAAACAAACATGTTTTGTTGTGCCGCGTTTGTTGTGGTCAATATCTAGGTGAGTAGCATATATATGCATCTGGGTTCCATTGTCCTCAAAATTGTTTTGACAGATCGAAGGAAAGAAAGAAAAATCCAATCTTTATTTGAAATAAAAAAAACAAAATTGCAATCTTTCTAGCTGCAAGCTCAAGGGGATTAGTTTAGAACAAAAACCAAAAAAGTAGTAAATTTGCTGACATAGTTTGGCCTGAGTTTTTGCAGAAATGGATTTTGTGGATTACAGGCGCAAAAGCAACTTTCCCAGGAAGATCATCTTGGCTGCTGGCCTTATTGCAGTTTGTTTTCTTCTGTTCAGAAAGTCCCCTTCTGGTTTCACTGCCTCCAATAAGGTCATTCAATTCATCTCTCTTTTTTGTTGTTCTTTTTTTGTTGACTAACTACATGGAGTTTTGTACACAGCAGATTGTGTTAAGATGGTGGGATTTGCTTATAATTAATAATTGATCTATTGATTTTGGCAGTTCTCTCAGCATGAAGCAGGGGTAACACATGTCTTAGTAACTGGAGGTGCTGGGTATATAGGATCTCATGCTGCTCTTCGCCTCTTGAAGGATTCGTATCGTGTTACAATTGTGGTATGTTTTGGAAAGAATGAATAATATAAGGGGCAAATCATTTTGTAAATGGGTGGGGCAAAATCCACCTCACTTTGGATAGGTCACCCGAGTTGCAATGGGGGATCTAAATTGAAGAGGGTGAACTTAGAAATGTGTGGGGCTAATCCTCTCACCCATTTTCTGTTTTTTGTTTTTGTTTTGATGTGTGTATGTATGTATGAGATTCTTTGTGCTCATTGGTTTATTTGGACAGGACAATCTTTCTCGGGGAAACAAGGGCGCGGTCAAAGTTCTTCAAGAACTATATCCCGAGCCCGGGAGGCTTCAATTTATTTATGCTGATCTTGGAGATGCATCAGCTGTATGGATTAATTACAATTCTCAATTGAATCTGTATGTATTCGTTTCATTGCATCCTTAATCGATTAAATACTATTTCAGGTAGACAAGATATTTTCGGAGAATGCATTTGATGCTGTAATGCATTTTGCAGCTGTTGCATATGTTGGTGAAAGTACACAAGAGCCTTTAAGGTATGGTTTTGTCACTTGACCTTTCTGAGAGTCTTTTGAAAACAGTATCTTCTCTTCCTTTATAGGTAGGTGTAAGGTCTTGTGGGACTTAGCTGGGTTATTATTGCTGAATTTGCAGGTACTATCATAACATTACCTCGAATACGTTGATGCTAGTAAAGGCAATGGCGGCACATAATGTCAAGACATTGATCTATTCGAGTACTTGTGCAACATATGGAGAGCCGGAGAAAATGCCCATCACTGAAGTCACTCCACAAGTGAGTATCTTAAAAGGCTTAAAACCTCTTAAATCCTCTAGGTGCTTTAAAACCAGTTATAATAGCGTTTCCCAATTCTTTTTTTCTATATTTTGAATAAAATTCAGGCACCGATAAACCCATATGGGAAGGCAAAGAAAATGGCAGAAGATATCATATTGGATTTCTCAAAGACTAATGACATGGCTGTCATGATCTTAAGGTTTGGTCCTTTCTAGCAGGAAGTTTCAGGGATATGTCAATGATATCATCATGACACATTGTTTTTGTGGGTGTCTCATAAATGAATAAAATTGCAAAATCAGGTACTTCAATGTGATTGGGTCAGACCCTGATGGGAGGCTAGGAGAAGCTCCTAGACCAGAACTCCGCGAGCAAGGTCGTATATCAGGTGCTTGTTTCGACGCAGCTCGTGGGATAATTCCAGGCTTGAAGGTATGCAATCCCATTTTATTTCCATAACTTTAAAGAATCCCACATTGAAATCTTCAGCAAAAAATCACTATTTTAGTGTGGTTTAACTCATATACCCTTTGCACATAAGCATTTAAACGTATATTCTGTGTTAACTGTCCATAGATGGCCGTTTTATCCATTTGGATCAATCTGGAGCGTATCGTAGACTTTGTCTGATAGAACCTGGTTGCCCTTGTCTTGAAAAACAATTGCAGATAAGAGGGGTTGACTATAGTACCCCTGATGGAACCTGTGTAAGAGACTACATTGATGTCACAGACCTAATCGATGCACATGTAAAGGCTCTGCAACATGCGACTAGGGGCAAAGTCGGCATCTACAACGTTGGCACGGGGAAAGGCAGTTCGGTGAAGCAATTTGTGGAGGCGTGTAAGAAGGCCACTGGAGTGAACATAAAGGTAGAATACCTGAGCAGACGCCCTGGGGATTACGCAGAGGTCTACAGTGATCCTTCCAAGATCAAGCAGGAGCTGAATTGGTCTTCAAAATACACACTCCAAGAGAGCTTGGCAATTGCATGGAAATGGCAGAAACTTCACAGAAATGGGTATTCTAATAATTAACAGAGACGATACACATAGTTCCTGAATCACGTGAGGCTCGTTATTTTTTTTCTTTTTTTTTTCCGCAGCAGAGAGAACAAAAGCCTGCTTCTCAGCAGCATTTTTTGATTATTTATGTGTAGTGGATGCATAGTTTACGTATAAATATACTTAGTATTTATTCATAGAAATTATACCTATACAAATGGTATGCAAGCACTCATCAGCTGCTGTAATATTTGACAGAAGGGGGGATGAATACCACCTTCATTGTTGTTATTGTAGTGCAAAGTTTTACACTTCACCCCTTTTTGCACAATTTAAGACTGAAAGAAGAAGAAATATTAGAAAGAAGATGAAATATTAGGAAGAAGAACCAACCTGCTTTTCTGTTCTGAGGAATGCTATCTGCACCCTCACTATGAAAGTGCAAATTGTCTTCCTATTCCTTTATCTCTTGTAAAAGTAAAGAGCAGAACCAAAAGTTTTGTTTGCACATGTTGCAGAATATCATTGGATGTTTGTTTTGTTTTTATTTTTGGGCACACCTCAAACCAAGCTTGTAGATCCTTTTTTCACGGGAAAAAGGAAAAAAAAGTGCATTTCTTTGCCATTTTTCTGTTGTGATAATGGCCGTGTTTTTCACCTGATACTAATAGTTTTCACAGCAGTGTTTTTCACCTGATACTAAGAATAAAAGACACAAAGCCCTCCAAAACACTTCGATCCAGACATATCCCAACATGTGCATTCACTCTATTTTCAAAAAGGTTCTTTAAGAATTCAGAGAAGAAAAAAAACACATCTGAGAAATTTGCTATAAATGTGCTCAAAATTCTTTCTGCAGCCCAAATGCTGACAAATATCCTTGGAGTTTACACAAGTGCTTCATACTACAAATACTATCAAATGGAGTGTATAATTTCTCTTCTTGTGTCTTGACGGGGACTAATTCGTGATTGACAAACAAAAAGTGGCATCAAGAAACAATAGGCTTCACATTGTGTGTCCTCTCCTGGGGAAGTCACTATTAGCGTCTCTAATTGATCTCTGCATGAATTCGTTCTAGCAAATCATAACTCGTCATGGCCTTCAGGCTGGCCATCAGTGTCCGATTCAACACTGGTATTGTCACCACTGTCTGGTTTCTCGGAATCTCCAGTTTGCTCTTTTTGGGAGGGCACCTCTTCCTCGGGAGGAGATGAGTTGTTGTTTTCTTTCTCCTCTCTACCCTCCGTTTCGTTTGTAGCTGGCTTCTCAACTTTTGGCTTTGGTTTGGGAATTTTATTGACCTTGGCCACCTAATCAATCAAAGGTGGGAATTAAAACACAAGCCAAAACAAAAAACAATCCACGAGACCAACCTTGCAGTTAAAAAAAGATGAACTGTGATGAGAAGTAATCACCCACAATACCTTATCTTGAAGATCAAATAACTTCTCGTATACTTCTTCTGATGTGAATGCTGGCTTGCTATGCGCTGGAGTCCTGTTGCATAGGTTGTAACTTGTCACTAATGGATCGGTTTCTTTCTTTTCATTTTTTTTCATTCAAATCCATTTATTAAACGGAAATACAATTTGTAAGAACTAAATACTTGAGCAGTTTGCCCTTTCAAAATTTATATCATCTCTTGGTCTTGGATGAATGTCTCCATCCGTCCCACAAAAAGAGTCCTATTTCACAAAGGTACAACTTTTGAAGTTCGGTGACATGCCTCTATTGGAAATCATCAAATATAACTACTCAGTATATTTTTAAAATCACTTGGTTTAACAAAAATTCAACACACCCACTTGGCTTGTTTGACATATTTTTTATTAAAAAAGTTAAGTTCGATTATTTTGGACTAGTAATAATTATGACACACACACATAGATAGATAGATTATAGATAGATAGATAGAGAGAGAGAGAGAGAGAGATCTCACTTATCCTGCTCAGCTTCCTTCTTGCTCAACCAATCCTTCAACTGCTCAGCCTCATTCATAACCTACATAAAAAAGAATATTACTCTTTAGGTCTTTTAGAGTTTGGAATGGAAATAACTGGACTTTCAAATGGAATTTACTTTGCAGCACTCCATGATTTTCAAATGCAGGAGATACTATAAGATTAATATGTTATACCTCGTCTATTCTTGCTTTAGGAAGCCAAGACTTATCTGTTTCCCATCGATGCACAATCTAACATTTTAAGGGGGAGAAAAAAACACAAAAGATTAATTGAGTTGATTCGCATTTGATATATTTGTGATATTCTTTTTCATATACTTCGATTGACGATATACTTCATAAGAAAGTAAACGTAAAGAAATATGTTTGGCAATATTCAACCTGTTGCATTTCAGTGAGGTAACTTCGGGCATGTTCAGATGCAGCAGGGCGTGCCGTAAGCTCATTATACCTACTCCAAGAAAACAAGAATGTCGCATTAAAATTACACACACAACACAGCTGAAGTTTAGGAAATGAAACTATGAAGAGACCTGTGGAATATTGGATCCCCAATAGCCTTAAGCATATCTAGATGTTTCTGAAATTCAGTGGCTAAGGCATCTTCACCATCAGTGTACAACCAATCTTGTACCTGAAGTGCGAGTTGCATACGTAAGCTTCTTTAAGTAGAGATCCATGCAAGCCACTTTCGGGAACACAAATGAGATATGCAATAAAATTAAGTGTGTGCACACATATACATTGACTAATTAATGAGAGAGAGAGAGAACTAAGCAAACCTCATCAAGTTTCTCAATATAGGATTTGCGCTCTTGTTCAGTCGAAATTTTTTCAAATTCCTCCGACTCAATCTGGTAAGTACATAAATGAATAAAAAAGACAATTAAAAACAGCTTTTCATCTCTAGTTGGATTTGAGACACATAAAAACATGAAAAGACGTTTAAATGCTCAACACTCTACGAATGTTCACAGTTGACAATTGTAAATATATATGTGCAAAATTTAGAAGGCAAATGATGGTGCTGATCAGACGATAAGGAAGCACAATACTGTATAAACCACAAGGGTCTCTCTGTGAGCAGTCAAACATATATTTATGTCAACAAGATTACAAAAACATTATAGATCAATGACATCAAAATGTATGAGAAGTATACACCAGGATTAAGGAGAATTTGAAGTTCCCAAGAAACAGAAAGCAACTATATCAGATGATTTGCTGTCAAACCATGGTGTGTGGCAGATGTGACCATATAGAAGTATGGCGGTATGGCACCTCTTAATTTGTTTCAAAATCTACTTGATCCTCACGAGTCACGAGGACCTCAAATGAGGATGCCATATTGTCTCATAAAAAGATATGAAAAGTGCATACTATTGAAAATTCATTAAAAATTAAAAATAACTAAAAACAGTATTCTAGGTATTTAATTCAAAAAGTTGATTGACAGATTATATATCGAGGGGTGGGAGGCTTTTGTAACCTTTTCTCTTGTATCATATATGTAGCTTTCCAGGTTGTTCTTTAATTCAGCAGTTCTTCTCCTCTCGGCATCTTTACTGTCCAGTTCATCCAATTTCAATTTAGCTTCGCTCAAAGACTTGTCTGAAAGAGGCATTCCTGGACCCAGTGTCTTCTCGGTAATCTACACAGACAAATGAGTCTATTCTTCAGATTGGGATAGATAAAAAAAACTACACCCCAACTTTTTTAAGTACAAAACAATGCTACTACAGTGCCAAAACTTGAATGAAGAATGAATACATGGATGATTAACCTTAAGAGGAACACGAAAAGTCCGCTTTTTCAGTTTCTTCTCTGCACCCAGATCTGCTGCAGAAGCATTATTTGCAGTGGAATTGGATGAATCACTAGCCAATCCTCCCTCCACATCCAGTTTTTCACCACTATCCTCTGAAGTGGTATTGGAAGCAGTAGATGTTGAATTGGAAGCAGTAGATGTTGAGTTATCCACTGTCAGATACTTTTTTGGCAAATCAACCCATTCCGATATTTCAATAACGGCATCAGCCCGATCCAGAGAAAATATTCCACTTCTACTAAGAGAGAAATGCAGATTGGTCTTGATTGGAGCAGAAATATTTCTTGCGGCATATCTAGTTAACATATGCATACGAAAAGGTTAATAAATAAGATGATAGCCGATAAACATAACTCCATCTGTTTTTATTCTTACTTCTGTGTAGCATCTGCTAGTCCTCCTACTGCATATTGAGCAAATGTGAGTGAAGTGGTGCCAGGTGGTAGCAACTCTTTGCTCTCATAAGCAAGTGAAACTTCAAAATCTTTGTCATGAATAATGGATCTGAACAACTGTATTGCCCGAGAAGCAATCATATCAGCAGTATGCACATGCGACAAGTGATTGTAATACGCAGATTTCTACTTCTAGGTCTCCAATATTGATTTGACAATTGATTTACCTTACTGGGTAGCCTTTTCATTCGAGGTATTAAGAATTGATTGGTGCTCTCGTCTTTGGACAAATCTGGACCATCTACATTAATCACAAATCCATATGGTGCACCATCAATCATGCCTAGCTTGCGGTTCAATTTTATCCCATCGCTTAGATTTGCAGCATGAAGTGAGGCACCAAGAACAATAGCTTCGTCTGCATCCAAATGTCTGTCTAGCTCTTTTCTCCCAAGAAACTCTTGAAGCTTGGCCTAACATGAATAGCAAAACAAACAAGATTATTANCCCCCCCCCCCCCCCAACAACAACAACCCCAGTAAACTCCCACAAAAAAGTAGGGTCCAGAAAGGGTGTGTGTATGCTGACATTACTTTTACTCAAGAGTAGATAGACTATTTCCAAGAGACCACAACTCAAACACAGAAACACAGACAAAGTAAACACAGTAACACGAACTAAGTAAGCGCAGACACAAAAAAAGCACACATACCAACACTAACAACTACACTCAAAGCACAAAAAATACACATGCATAAGCTACATACTAAAGCAAAAAAGACTGCCAGCATAATGTACAAATTAAAGTCCAGAGATCTACCCAACTAATCTAATCTTAGATATCTAGGTTATTCTAGACATCTTGAAATTGCAAGTACTGTCTAATCGCCTCTTTTGAACTTTCTTAGGCCTACCTCTACCCCTTCTCATGCCCACTACTGCAAGCCTCTCGCATCTCCTCACTTGAGTCTCTGCAATTTTCTTCCTTTCAGGTCCAAATCAGCTACCAGTCTAGCTCCTTGCAGCATATTTTGCACAGATATCACTCTCGCTCTTCTACGAATAACCTCATTCCAAATTTTATCCATCCTCATAAGACCACACATCCGCCTCAATCTCCTCATCTCTGCCACTAGTTGAAGCTGAAGAATGTGAGTTTTTTTCACCGCCAAGCTCTCAGCTGTGTGTTAACAGAGCCGATCAGATAATACTTCTCTTTCATGCTTGTCGATATCTTGTTGCAAAAGCTACCAGAAGCTAGCTTTCTCTTTGTCCAAGCGGCTCTAATATGATGACCAACATCCTCATCTATCTCCTCATAATAACTGAACCAAGATACAGAAACTTGTCTCTTTTAGGCACTGGGAGTGAATTAATTTTTACACTTACGACTTAGTCGCCCTACCACTGAAGCAACATTCATGCATTCAATCTTTGTCCTACTCAATATGAAAACTTTGGATTCCAAGGACAAAGGCCACCCTTCCGAGTTCCAACTTATCATTGAGTCCCTCACATGTCTCATCAATTTGTCACCAAATAGCATGCACCAAGGTACATCCCCTTTGATAAGCTGAGTTAGAACATCCATCACCAACACAAACAAGAAAAGACTAAGGGCAAACTGCTAGTGTAACCTCATCTCTAAGGAGAAAGGTTTTTACTTTTTAAATCCCCCTTCAGGCTCCATCTTTTAAATTTTGGAACATGGGAAAATTACACATAAATTTAGAAAAAAAATTGTATAGTTAGCATTGAACTTTTAAGTGTGGATTGATTTCAGCCATATAAAGCATACCAAATATGGCATCAGGCAAAAAAATAGGGACACACCAAAATGGAAAAGTAACAAAAATAGTTAGACAAATGGAATACTTTGACAAAACATATGAGCAGTGTTACTTGTTTATTTATGCAGAAAGAAAAGTTTTACACATAGGGCAATGGGAGTTGATAATTGGTTCCCCTTCCCACTTCCTTCCCCCCTAAATAATACTCCGTAGTTAATATGAATGATGGGTAAGTGTTGAAAAAAGAAAAAATAGATATTAACAATTGAATTAAGAAATCAATTTTTCAAGGGAAAAAGGGGGCTTCCCACACCTGTAATTTTGGCACTCGAGTGCCACCTCCGATGAGCTCTACTTCATAAATTTCATCAACCTTCAAACCAGAGTTCCTCAGAACTTCTTTCAAAGGAACGATAGCTTTTTCCCACAAATCTTCGCATAGCTCTTCAAACTTCTCACGGGTGATTGTGCTCCTGAAAGAAATTATTAAATGAAACAGAAAAACAAATGCACTGCTCAGTAGAAGTAGTTAGAGAAAACAAATAAAGACGTGATGTGCTCATGGTGTAAAAAAGAAAAAAGTGAAGTGGATAGTCACAGATAGAATCATCATCAATTGAAAATCAGCAAAGATACATTGTGCTCCCGTAGGGGCAATTTTCATGCACATAACTAAAAGAGATGTATTGAATGGAAATAGTAAGACTGAAAGTGAGAAACACAGATAGCTCTTCATCACTGTCTCCTTTGAGGCAGATCCTTAGCCTTTTTCAAACTTTCATCCATCTTAGATAGCTAGCACAAAATCACAGAAGACACATAGAGCAGAAGAAACATAAAGAAAAGAAAGCACAAAGCACAAAGAAGCAAAGAACAAACTAAATATTAACGAAGGGAGAGCACAACAAGCAGAAAGCACCAAACATAAAACGCACACAACAACAAATGCAAAAACTACCACCAAGCCCAAACCGCCTAGGCGCTACCCAACTACCCTAATCCTAACTCTCCAAATGTTCCTATCTAAAGTTATATCCTCGGTAAGGGCCAGAAGTCCTAGGTCATGTCTAATCACCTCCTTCCAATTCTTCCTAGCTCTACCCCTTCCCCTCTTCCTGCCCACTAGGCCACCACCATAAGCCACTCACATCTCCGTCAACTCACATGCCTGAACCAGCCTACCTACTTTAGGGTAGGGGTAAGCTATGCGTACACACACCTCCCCCAGACCCTACTCTTGTGGGATCCAAATGGGGTTGTTGCGTCAATCTTAGATAGCACACATCTCCAGCTAGTTTTTGTGCTAGACTAATAGATTTCAACATTTTATTTAAACTCCCTTAAATAGCACCAGATTAAGATAGGATGGACTGACAGATAAAAATTGAAATAGCTACTGCTTAATGTAGAATGTAGTTCGTGAACATGCTACAAAGAAAATAACTGCAGCTATTATAAACTTAAACTGTGAAAAATTAGTCGAACAAATGATAAAAGAGAATCACAACCTAACAAAACAAACATGTAGTACTACGTAACAACTTATTGATGTACTCCGTACATAAACTTTCCAATTATGCAACACTGTATCTTGTAAATACAGAAATATCTCAAACTTTTGTTTCTCTAAAATAAACATGAAACTTAATATGAAAGAAGGAAAATTCAAATGATTCAATTATGAACTCACCGAAAATCACGATCATCATAGAAGGACTCGACAGAGATTGGAGCCGCTGTGTTTGCACTGAGTATTTCTTTTGTACGCTTAACCTGTTTCTTCAATTTGGCCATTGCCTTGGAAGACGTCCTCACATCTACCCCATTTCCAAGCTCTTTGTTGAACTCGTCTGCAAAGTACTCTACCAACCTTAACTCAAACTGTTCACCCCCAAGCTCAGCGTCCCATCTAACATCCTTTACCTGCAAAATCAATTACAATCAAATTAGAAAACAATCTAAATGGAGCAATTAGAAAGACGCAAATCACAGTGTAACAGAGCTACATTATAAGCCCATAATAAAGTCCTACTTCTTCAAGAAGTAAACTAGGACAATTTGAAATTCTGTTTTAAAAATCTGATCTTTATAATTTGCAAAATCTTTGAATAGAAATACTATACCTGGAACTGGTTAACTAACACGGTCCTCCCAAATTCCTTGGTATTGTAAGCTGAGAAATACACAAGAGCAGCATAAGTGCTACCTGCCCCCATATCATAGAAGATCACGTGCCTTGATCCATTGGAGAAATCCTTGTCAATCCCATACTGCAATGCAGCACCAGAATGCTCGTTAACGAGCGCAAGCACATTGATCCCGGCAAGCTGGGCCGCAGTAAGAAGCCCATTTCTCTCAGCGACTCCCATGTATGGCGGCACTGTCAATACAACATCCTTCACTGACCCGCCTCGCACGTGAGTCTCAGCTAGCCCAACCGCGTACTTCAGCACCATCGCCACCAGCTCCTCTGCCGTGAAATTCCCGTTCTCTGTCCGAAAAACGGCCACATTCCTCGACTCCTCTGGGAAAACATCGTATCTCAAGTGAAGGGAGTCCAGGTACTTGACGGCGTGATCATAGGGTTTACGGATGAGTTCCCTGAGGTGAGAAAAAACCTTGTCCGGGTAGCGAGCCAGGAGACCCGAAGCTTCCTCGCCGATTAACCGCGCCCCAGAAAGGAACGCGACTAAAGAAGGGGTTTTGCGCTTCGACATCTCGTTAATGGCGATGGAGATCGGAGGTTGCCCCGGTTTCAGGTTCACCACGGCGACTTTCAGCGATTCGGAGCCCAGATCTATGCTCGAAACGGCGGCATGAGCGCAAATCGAATTCAGAAGAATTAGGGGTAAGAATACCCCTATGCGGAACCGCAATCGATCGTCCATTGCCGGAGAGAGCGAAAGCTTTCTGGGTTGAAGAAGCAGCTGAAGGTCGGAGAAGAAAATGCAGGGGAGGATTTATACCTGGGGTCCACGTGGAAAGTCCAAGAAGTCAAAGCAAATCACAGGAAGACATGTGGATCAAATGACACGTGGATGAATGTCAAGCGTCCAGTGTGTTGGTTTCTCGGTCATCGTAGATTTCTCGAGAGAGAGAGAGAGAGAGCAGATTTCAATTTATTTTGAGCACACAAGCAAAAGATGATCACAATCTTATATAAATGATTTATGATTATTTTATTTTTCAAATTTTATTCACACATGACAAATTTGTAAAGTTTGGTATCACTTTTTTTTTTTACTTTAACATTTTTTAGTTATTTTTGCACTTCTCCTCTTTTAGCTTTAATAATTTAAAGAAAACATTAATTGTGTTTTTGCATTTCTTAATATAAATTGCACTATTAGAAAATTATCTAAATATTAAATTTAATAAAAAATGATATTCAAAATAAGTTTTTAGAGTTTGTTTTCTTTGACAGATCTAATTTATTTTGATTTGGTTCACGGAGGGGCATCTATGCATAGGTCGATTTCCCTCGACGTAGAGTTTTAGCAGAGTGATATTCTCAAGCTATTTTGTAACTATGATAATGGACTCCTTCATGTTGGTGGTGCTGGCCTCCATCTTTAATGGACGATTGGATTCCTGATTTACCTCGTCTACATATCTTGTCGGACTCGAGTGTGGGAGCCCTTAGGGTTAAGATTCAACATTTTTTTGCACCTTTTGATTTGAAGTTATTAGGATATGACTATTTCTAATCTAAATCTAAATTTTTATGATGCCAACTAAAGTTAATGTAATACGAGGTACTTTGTATATATTTTTTATTTAATCTAGACGTATCTAATTTGATTGAAATAGGCAGTGGCAAAGCCAAATTAGGTGTTGACGGTAGTAGCACGCAACTGTCCCCACCGATTTGAATAATAAAGTGTGTATGTATTAACATTAAAATTAGATTGCGTAAAATAGTTGGCGGGCGAAGTAAGGTGTTAAACGGTGCAAGCAGAGTTTGATCTTGATTACTAGTTAAGAGATCTTTTAGTGCATTGTTTTACACTTTATTCATTTATTGCACACTTTTTTATTTCTAAAAAACTCCACCTTGGGAAATCTCTGGCTGCACCATTGGAAATAGAAATAAATAATACTCCGTAGTTCGTAAATAATAAAAATATGAATGAAATTTTAAAATAGTCATTCATAATAAAGTATATTCTAAAATCAATCATCAATGACTAATAATTACTTATATGATAGTTCATAATAATATATTTTCCCTCAATTCAATAACCTCAATACACAACAATTACCTGCATGGTACTTTATAATTGAGATACTTTTTCATGATAGCCATTCATGAATTGGTGTGATATCATTATTATAACCTCATATGGTTGATTTTGAATAACATTAATGGGAAAAGACTATTTTAAAAACTTCATTATAGTTTAGGTGATGAAAGTTACCAAAATATACTAAAATTAAAAGTCATTTGAATAGTTAGTGATTAAATCACAATTATACAATATCATGTAAGTAATTATTGCTTATTGAGAACTCATTTGGAAAAATATCATATTGTAAATGACTATTTAAAAATTTACTCCAAAAATATGGTCAAGAGAACAGGCCCCTATGTTTCATTATTGAATAGTTTTGTTATACTTTGTAATCCATATCGTGAATACCTGAGTGTATTTTTTTCTTTTAGTAAGTTTTAATATCCTCACAAGTCCATTCATCTATAAGAGTCATCTCCAATGCCCAAAAAGAGGTGTCCATATGAGAGAGACCCCCAAAAATATTATAATTGGAGATGAGTGCTCAAATATAAATGAAAAATGTGTAGAAAGACACGGAAAAAAATAATAGTGTGCCACTCTTGTCTTGAAAAAAATAAAGATTTGCTCAAATAATGTTACTATACGATTGTTCAACTATAAAGTAACATGTGGCCTCGTTATCTTTTAAAGATGAACTTGTTCTTAAAGTTGAGAGATACTTTGTAAGATATTTGAATAACATTTTTGAAAATCTTATGCATGCTTAAGTATCTAAGATGGGATGTCACCATTGTGAAAGATGTAAGTACACTAATTCACCAACATTAAATACACCAATATTAACAACATCAAACCCATCCACCCATATTAATCACTATCACATACACATTTTAACCTAGATGTTGTCTAATCTTTTTTTGTTGTCGCCTTCATCTTCTTTGTTAATCATTTTTTGCATCTTTCTATCATAAGTTTTAAATATATCTGCTCTCATTTTTTAATTAAACTTACATTTGTTCATATTTATTTAAGATGTTTCATTTTACATGAATTCATAGAATTTGTATATATCCTACTACGTGAGGATTATGACGTTGACCTTATGATAGCTATGATATGATGACGAAGATGGTGATATTGGCCATTTGTCTAAGTGCTACGTTGGTGCAATTATCTCTGACAATGATGATGAAAAGACTAGAAAGTGATTAAGTAGATACTAACATGGGGGATAAATATTTGGAGGCTTAGAGAAATATGATGAGATTGTTAAGTCTAACCTCTGTTTAAACCAGTACGAATTAGAAACCACATTGAGCTTGAGGAGATGTTGAATCTCTCGATCCCATGCTCGATTTTCTAATCTACCTCAATGTCTGGAAAACAGAGATTTAGAAATATTCAGCAGTAAATTTCTCTTCAATGAAAAGAGCAAGTATTAATTAAAAACACATTACTGGTATATAAATTAAATTATATATTCACCAATACTTAATATACATAAATGCATGAGTGGCGGTTCGTTGCGGTATACAGGCTAAGTGGGACTTCACGCGGGTTTGATTTACGTAATTGGAATTTCCAAACATGTATTTTTTGCCAAATCTGAACTCGAAGTCTATGAAGGCCTTGTATTGGAAATAATGTTAGAGTTTAACATAAATAATTAGAGTTAGAGTTTAGAGTTAGCCATTAGTTATTTCTAATTTTAAATTATCAGCGTTTAAACTATTTACCATCTGGATAGTAAATATTTTAAAAAGCTAATTATAAGAAGCATCAAACTCTAAACTCATATCAAAACGTTGGGCTATGGAAACTTTTTGCTTTCAACGGCGAGAGAAGTTTGAATCCCATTATTAACTTTGCAAACTCTCTTTTTATACGAAGAACAAACACCAAATTAATAAGGAGTGAACATTTCATTCTCAAACGCTAATCCCAAAAACGCTCGAAGTCTCAAACAAGCCACAAATTAATTTTTAGAGAATATTAAGCTTATCCAAAAATTATTAAAATCATTTTAGAAATATTTAAGTGCTTATAAATATGTTCGAAAGGATTTCGTCTCCAAAGTAAATGTGAGAAATGTGATTTTGAAAACATTATTTGTTTTTGAGTAAAAAAAAGGTGGAAGATGAAAAAATATTGTATTAAACTTTTAAATTTTAACATTTTTGATAATTAAGGTGTATCCCTTGGAAGATAAAAATAAAAATTAAGGTGTATTTTAATCTTTTATTACAGTACTTCAAGAAGTGTATCTAAAATGTACACAATCTTCTCACAGATACACAGAGACTTATTTTATTTCTCATAGACACAATTGATGTGTCCGTGAGAAAATAAGTGTACAAATCCTTATTTTTAATCACAAGAGAGAAAAAAGCTGTTTATACTTTATATGTCGTTTTAAATTTTAATCCACAAGTTATCATGCGGCCAACGAGGTGCGTCGTCTGCATCATCTCCTCCTTTAACCACCACCGCTTCAGGCCTTCACCGAAGAGCCATTGGCATATCTCACATCCGCTCTGTTCTCAGAGGAAGAAGAAGGCGACATTCGAGTGGAAATGGCTCTGTATCTCAGTAGCGCGTGTGCTTGCGGATTAAGAGTGAGGGCATCTCAGGCAGCTCCACCCAGAGCCACGGCTTCAGAAGAAGGGAAGGTGAAACTCGGAGGGTCTGGATTGATGGTCACCCAGCTCGGGATTGGGGCCTGGTCTTGGGGCGACACCACCTACTGGAACAATTTCGAATGGGATGGTGAGTAAATTTGCTTGTGTTGGTTGATGTTTGGAGCTTCATTTCGAAAGAAATTCAATTTTCTTGCCCTTTTGTGTGTATACATTGTTTGAAATTGTCGCGATTAATTTGGTTATTTGACCAAAATCTATAGTTTTTAAGTTTGTCCATGGTGAAGAACTGATTGCCTGTGGCTTTGTGCCCTGCATTGACACTATTCCACATTTCTTAAGTTGGGGGGGAAGTATTTGGAGATGAATTTGCACATGACTAATGCTGATTGAATTCATGTAGTTTTAGTTACCTTCCACACAATGTGAGTTAGGTTCTTTTGAGTTTTGACACCAAGCCCGGGTGTCATATTATATTATGACACCAGCTATGCTATTTGAAGAGCTTAGGGTGCTCCGTTGTACCCAAAGTAAAACCCTCAGCTCACCCCTTGTCCCTGGATCTCCGATATGCCATAGCATTATGCTACTAGTGTAGCATATTGGCAATTCAGGGGCTGGAGGATTTGTGGGGGTTAGGGGGTAGGAACCACTTTGGAAATGTAAAAAACTGGTGTTAAAAGAACTGTGGTCATTTTTTTTTAAATCCGATTTCTGCATAAGTTGCATGTTTGGATTGACCCTTTTTTTGGCCTTTTAAATTTACAAACACTGGTGTTTGGGCATAATTTGAGAAGAAATACCTAGATTTGATTCATTGTTATAAGCAATCAAGATTTAGACCGAATGGATTGTACACTGCAAATTGTTATCCTTGAGAGTTTTTCCTATGATGAATATTCCATTTTCAAGAGTTTTGTGGAAGATCATAAATTTTATGATAACTGAGAGTTCTGAAATAGCAAACAAGAAAAGTGTGTGTTTTTCCTATTTTTTATTGTTATGACTTGATCATTGCACAAGTTCAGTTTATGTGGTATCCATGTGATTTCTTTCTCTTTCTGATTCATCATAAAGATAGAAAAATGAAGGCTGCAAAAAGAGCATTTGATGCTAGCGTCGATTGTGGAATAACATTCTTTGATACTGCAGAGGTTTATGGAGCAAGGGTACGAATCTTTTTTTAAATTTCCCACTGTTCTTTGCCTCTTTTAGAAACAACCTCTCTACCTCGGAGTAGAGGTAAGGTCTGTGTACAGTGTACACACACCCTCCCTAGACACTACTCTTTGTGGGATTTTACTAGGTTTGTTTCTGTTGTTGTCCCACTGTTCTTTGCACCCCTTTGGCCCAACAGTCTCTAACAGTTAGCAAATAATACATTTCTTCACACTTGCAGTTCTCTCTAGGTGCAATAAATTCTGAAACTCTACTCGGGAGGTGAGCCGCAATTCTACTTCTTTTTTTCAAATTACCCATTTGCATACATAAAGGGCTAAGGCATGAAGCTCCATCATAAAAGGCGAGCGTTGTAAGAGTAGGCCAATCCCTTGGATATGCATTTTTATGTATCTGTCTGATAGGGAGAGTTTAACATGCATATGCTTTATATCTGCCTTTGTAATTGACATTTCTATTATTGTTCTCGCTGGTTCCACAGATTTATTAAGGAAAGAAAAGAGAGGAATCCGGATGTGGAGGTTGCCGTTGCAACCAAGTTTGCAGCCTTGCCATGGAGGCTTGGGCGTAAAAGTGTCGTTGCAGCCCTCAAAGATTCTCTAAGCCGGCTCGGTCTCTCCTCGGTTGAACTTTATCAACTACATTGGTAAGCAGCTACATCAGAACTGTAATTCTGCAGCTAACTTCTCTGAAACTTAAACCAGTATATTTATCACTGTGCTTATTTCAATTTTCAGGCCAGGAATATGGGGAAATGAAGGTTTTTATCCATTCGTTTTAATTGACTTTCAAATTATAGCTTATTTAGCCCTTGATAATGTGAGAGAGGTAATGTGATGTAATGCTGAGGGTGATGTAATCACCGTGGATGTCTTATGTATTGTAATCTGCATACATGCTTGTTGTCTTAGGTATTGTAAGATCACCATGGTAATATTTTAGAATATTCTGACTTTCTCTTAAATAATTTAGCAACAAGTAATATCACATTCATGACCTAAGCAACATATGTATGTTTGGATTCCAAAAAATGCCAAAGAAAATGATTTCCATAGTTTTTAATTTTTTATGTAACAGAAATAGAGAACAATTAGAGTTCCAAGGCTCCTACATTATTTTTACAAATCAAAGCTTGCAAACAATGCAGTTTTATTTTTGCCAACATAATCTCCTAAAATCTCCTTTCTTTTTTCTTTTAGAATTTTATGAGCTCCAAGCTGACTGTTACACTTTGGTTGGGGTGGAATAGGAAAGAGAGAAATGTGAGGGAAAGATATACAGGAGTAATAAGACACTTCTGTATTTGGTGGCAAGACTGCAAGAGAAATGGAGAGGAGAAAAATGAAAGCACCCACCACTTCCATTTTTCTCAATTTCTATATGTTTATTCTATATTTGTCCCTACCAAACAACACACGAAATCTACCTTAATTTCTACTGTACTGTGGATCTCTTCTCTATCCCCCCCCAAACCAGATTAAGGCTTGAGGTGATTTTACATTCCCCTAATCTCTCATTATCTTCAAGACATAATCTTACCTTCGGCAACCCCCACCCCCACCAAAAGAAAAAAATCTTTTTAGCACTCAGATTTAGAGAGAAACCATTTCACCATTATTTCCAGGTTATATTGATGGGTTGGCAGATGCAGTAGAATTAGGCCTTGTGAAAGCTGTTGGGGTTTCAAACTACAATGGTATGCTACTTTTACTCATAATTGTGGCCTCCATGATAACTTCATCTCAGACAGAACTGTTTTCTAGACTTTTTTTTCTTGTTTACTTTTCAGAAAAACGCCTTCGAGATGCATACAAGAAGCTTAACAAGAGGGGTATACCCCTAGCTTCAAACCAAGTAAACTACAGTCTAATATACAGGTTGCCCGAGGAGAATGGTGTGAAGGCTGCCTGTGATGAACTAGGGGTCACTTTAATTGCATATTCTCCTATTGCTCAAGGTGAAGTTAATATTCTTGTGCTCATCATTTTCAAACCAGTTGGATATATTGGGCCGGACGACCGGGCCTATTAAATAGGAGACCTTGAAGCCCAACCCAAGCAGGCCTAGAGGAGGGAAAACACTAATCGCATTCGCAAGCAGTCTAGATAAGACAGCACACTAGGCCAACTAGCTCGGCAGTTGGCACCCTTGCTTCGTGTCATAGTTATTAANCCCCCCCGGATCTGTCTGCACTTAACAGCAAGACTAAAGATCTTTCTTATGCAGGTGTTCTTACTGGAAAGTATACTCCAGAAAATCCTCCAACGGGTCCTCGCAGACAGATTTATACTCCCAAGTTTTTAACCCAAGTAAGGCTATTAATTAATTAGAGAAAACAAATTACCTAATTAGGCACTTTGTATGTTGGTAAATATAATTGTTTTCTGTGCTCCACAGCTGCAACCACTGATAAACCGAATAAAGGAGATAGGAGAACATTACAACCGAACTCCAACACAGGTGTGCACTTTAAGCAATTCATAATCTGAATTTTGTTTCTCTGATCTATAGCATCTCCAACACAACAATGCGCACAATACACATGGCATGAGATGTATGAAAGCAAAAATAACTAAATAGTTTGAAAACTTTGAATCTTTTTTTAACTTTCTATGTCTTTCAATGTTTTTGGTAGTTTTTTTTCTCCACAATGGCAAGAAGAATGTTTACCATTAAAGTTGTACTTGAGGAAAATTTGGCAAACACACAGGAAATGTATGTAGACATCAACAACAACCTACCCAAGAGAATCCCACAAATTGGGGTCTGGGGGTGGGTGGATCTATGGGTAGAGAGATTATTTCCAAGAGACAAACCACAAATGCATGCAGACTGAAAGAGAATTTGTTTTGTAATGTTTATGTATATCTTTCAAGCCATGCGTGTGCACATTGTTGCATCCAAGATTCTCTCTGAATTCTCCCTGAGTATCATAACCTGCGGTAGCCACATCGGTCCCACATTGAACTGTCAAGCTAAGAAAGACTAATATATAAGAATATGTGTTACTCCTCCCATCAATTGGTTTTAGGATGGAATCGCACAATTCTACACCTAGCAAAGCTCACTTGAGCTTATCAATGACTTCATAAAACCTATGTTGTATTTGTACTTCCTCTATCCCCTTGAGGTCAAGAGATCGTTTGGCTTTGCGTCCCGGAAAGGCCCGTTGTTTCTCTCATTTTAGGTTCCACATGATACTTTGTGTTCATCATTGTTCATGCCTTATTCTCCATATTTTGTTGGGCCTAAGAATGGGTATTGAATTCTTAGGATCCAATCTTATTAGCACCTACAAAATGTCTTGAAGAAAACTTAAGACAATAGTGCATTTCATGATTTGTTTGGTCCAAATAATCCTAACTTCCACTTTTGCACAATATAATGTTACAATTACAACAGCAAAAACCCCAGTAAAGTGTCACAAAAAAACAGGGTTTAAAGAGGGGCCTATACGCAGACCTCACCCGTATTCGGAAGTAGAATAGAATGTTACAAACATATCAAATAATGGTGGCCGTCACCAACCTCTATGGCTTTTGTCACATGCAGGTGGTGCTGAACTGGTTGATATCCCAAGGGAATGTGGTCCCCATCCCGGGGGCCAAAAATGCAGAGCAGGCTCGAGAATTTGCTGGCGCCCTGAGCTGGAGATTGACAAAGGAAGAAGTCGAGGAGCTTCGATCTTTGGCATCACTTGTCAAGCCTGTTGCTGGCATCCCTGTTGAAAAACTCTAATCATATGAAATTCATCCCATCACCATGCTGATATCAAACTTTTTACTGCTACAAACAATATACTCTCTCCACTCACATCTAAAATCATTATGACTTTTGCGATATCAAAAGTTAAATGAATGTAGACAATTAGACATGACAAATGTCCATATTCATTCAATTTTTGATGCATCATAAAAGTCACTTTATAATGATTGGTTAAATACTTAAATGTGTGAATATAGGGAGTAGGCTGTAATTATCATATGGCATCATATATTGTGTTTAGTGGATTCTGGTGGTGCATGCATGTCTCTTTCACTTTGCTGGATCCAAGGGGCTATGATAAGGTAAGGTGCAACTCTACAAGGGCTTTGGGAGGGGGGGTGGGTGGGTGGGTGAAGGTATATAATAGATTCCTTAAAATGTTGCATTATTGTTTAGTTATCAGTCAACTTTGTGTCCATTAAAGTGAAGGTGTGCTTATTTATGGTTCATGGTATAATATATTTTTAAAAATGTGAATGTGTTAATTGCAAATATGCATAGGTTGGTTGCAATTTTATTGTGTTTTGTAAAAAGAAATAAAATACATATTCTTTATTTGTTAAAACTCATATTATTGCGCGATTTATTTCTCAATTGGAAGGGTTTGATAGAGGGTTGAATGAAGCTACATTTTCCAAAAGGATTTCCATTGTTGGATAGGATGAAAATATGATAGAAGTTTTAAAATTTGTGGGGATGCAATTATGCAAAGAATAAAACTAAAGATGTTTCGCCTCATACTCTTGATGTAGCATTGCATCTACCATCCAAATCTCCACTAGCTATTTACATGTCATATTTTAATGACGTTCTTGACTCAATTGTTTTTGATATTGTTTTTAAATATATAAATTTTATTTTTTTAACGTTTACCAATTTTCAAATATTTTGTATTGAATATAATTTCGGTTAAATCTCGACAACATCAATAGACAACTTTTTTGTATGATAGAGGAAGTATTTTTTAATCAATATGGGCAAAAATTGTTGTAGACTGAAATAAATAACGGCTATATATAGAGATGCTAGATAAAAAATTTTACAAAATAAATGGTGATAAAATCATTTTATTTTATCAAATCATTGATGAAAATGTATTAAAAAATGGAGTTAATTTGACACCTCAAAAGTAACTAAGAACCTTGTTTTGAGAAAAGTAATCAAGTTTTGGAGACATGTTGATTTTGAATTTTTAATCTTTAGAATGACACATAATCAATCCATTGGTTCTTTCATTGATTCTAGAGAATTAAACTATTAATTGTTTCAAAAAAAATCATATATTGGTGAGTAGATCTGCTAGTTTTTTTTTTGAAAAACATTTCATCAAATGCACCACTCCTATATTTCAACTTTTTTAAATTGACAATTGTGGAGTATTTCATTTTGTTTATCAAAATATATGAGCTGTTTTACCATGATCACATTTAATTTTCTTGATTACATTTATTTCATACAAAAAAAATGTGTTTTTAAAAACATATTTACTTCACAAGTCGGTGCCCAAGAGATGCTGACCGTATTTAAGGGCACAAATTGGGAACACCTGCCCAGACAGGATTACTCGAAAATCAAACTTTTATTAATGTTCAATTAATAATTTTCCCTCGGCTTAATCTTTATTTATTAACGGTATTCATTTATTATAATAAGTTGGTCTTGTTGCATCTTATTTTACACCAGTTTATAATGTAAATTTGAATTTTGAAATATTTATATTTTACAGAGTCAATTTTTGTTAGAGAATAAATTTTTCTTCAGCCTAAAATAAAAAAAACTTGGGTTTTTAGTTGTATTGGTTCTTTAACATGATGTCAGAGTCTTGTCAGCCAAGAGGTCACGAATTTAAACTTCATCGCCACCCAGTTTAAACAATTTTATTTTCATGTACAAGGCTCGAACAGAAATAAATCTCGTCTACATGCGAGAGGGCGTGTTAGAATATCAAATCCTTCCTGGGCTTACAACCACAAGGTTGAGTTTTTGATTATTTTGGTTACTTGACAAACTATATTAACTTTCGTTACTCATTTGATAAAAAAAATATAGTTAAGTCACCTATTATTTCGTAGAACTTTTAAACATACGGAGTCATTTTTTAAATTCCATCTCAACTATCAAATAAATTGAAAATAATTTCAATCAAATATCGTAAACAGAAAGAGTCGATTTAATTTGAGGAGAGAGTACAAGACGGTTACTGTTGACTATTGTTGCAAAATAATTGTCCCGTTTGAAATGGCCGGCAACTAGTTTGTAAGGAGACGTAGCTCAAGTGGTCAAAAGATGGTACAAAACAAAAAAGTTATAAGCCCGTGGGCTTGACCATATAACCCGAACCTCGTCCACAAGTTTGGGTGTCCCTAATCCCTATTAATTACGCCCAGACCGACGTGTACTCCAAAAGTTCAAGCCCAAACACGCCATTTTACGTACGGGTCGGGTATCCAGACCGTGATCCGAGAGTCCTAACTACCGTCTACCGGGACAGGAAAATGCTGCGGTCGAAAACCCCACTTCACTCGCTTTCTCCATTGTTGTCTCTTTCTCTCTCACTCTCCCTCTGCCTCTAGTGAGAGAAACAAATAACTGAACAATTCTTTATTCTTTATTACAGAAAGAGAGAGAGAGAGAGAGAATACCCATTTCCTAACTGTTCCAGCAAATTGGAGCTCTGTTTTGGCCTTTTGGGTCGTTTCCCTTTCTGCGTTTCTTTAAAAGATTTGTAATTATTTTAATTAAAAGTTTAAAAAAAGGGATCTTTTTTCAATTTCCTCGGGGAATTTCAACTGCGGTTTTCTTGGTCAGGTGATTCCCAGACACCATCTCTGTGTCTTTCTCTCTGTTCTTCACTTCCATGACTGGTTCTTGATTTTTTCTTGAAAATCTTGAATTTTTTTTGCAGCCATGAATCCCTCGTGCCCCCCTGATTGGGATATTGAAGATGAAGTCTCTCTTCCAAACCAGAAGAAGACTGCAGGGTTAGCTTTCCCCTATAAAACATTTTCTGGACCTACAATCTCACAAGTTTGAGTTTTTTTTTTTGTTTTTGTTGGGATAAAGTTTGCGTTTTTTATATTTAGCTTATGGTGATTACAGGTTAGGGTTAGACCAGGAGCTGGTGGAGCTGCTATGGAAGAACGGCCAGGTGGTGTTGAGCAACCAAACGCATAGAAAATCTCTCAATGAGCCATCATCCACTTCAATGCCTGGCAGTCCCTTTGGGAACCCAATTCAAAATGACCCATGGCTTAATTATCAGGCCATTGATGACTCTTTCGAGAGAGAACTATGCGCTCCGTTTTTCTCCGGAATCCCATCATCAGCTCATCCTCTTGACACAAATCAAGAAACCAAGATCTCCATTTTTGGTAATAATAATAATAATGGTAATAGTAATAGTAATCCCATGCCCCCGCTGCCAGGGACTCAGATCTTGAGTTCTCTGAGGAGGCAGCGTCAGCGGCGTGGAGATAAAGGGGAGTGTTCGGCGATGACAGTGGGCTCCAGCCATTGTGGGAGCAATCTGGTCGCCGTTGATGCTACTTTTGACAGGAAGAGCGGTGGGAGGAAATCATCAGCAACGGCGGCGACCAGAGGTGCCAACTATGGTGGGGAGAAAGCAGTGAGTCCTGAGACCGAAATGGGAGAAGAGGATACCACTGGAACGTCGTCGTCTGGAAGGTCAGGTGGCACCAGCTTTGTCACAGCCAATGGCCGCCCCAAAAAACGGAAAGCCAGGGGTAGAGAAGAGGAATCAGAATGCCAACACGATGAAGTATGTGTTACAGTATAAAATCTTTCCTGTGCCTACAACCACAAGGCTTAACGTTTTTGGTTGAGTTGGTTATTTGACAGTATCTTATCTTTAATTCCTCGCTTTTTTTAGTGTGACTTATGACCCAGTGGAGTGACAAGCATAGTTTATTGTGTAGGGTGATGACTTTGATATAGGGTACACAAACAAGTCTTCCCAAAAGTCTGGAACCACTCGACGGAGCCGTTCTGCTGAGGTTCATAACCTCTCTGAAAGGGTATAGGACTCAAATGACCTCTAGATTTATTTTTCCTAAGGGCGTGTTTGGATCGCGGGTTTTAGGCCATAAACTGTAGCATACCCATTGTTTGGATCATTGGAGTAATGGGTTTTTTTTGGTATACAGAGGCGAAGAGATAGAATCAATGAGAAGATGAAGGCTTTGCGGGAGCTTCTCCCTCGCTCCAACAAGGTTTTCTCTCTGATCTATCTTTTGTTAAATATAAAAAAAAAACCTTTCCCGAGTCTACCACCAGAAGCTTGAACTTCTGTTTGAGTTGGTTAATTACTTGACAACTTTCTCATTTTCTTTTTTGATGAAAATTTACATAAAACTATCGTTTCTTTTGTGTCGCCTATATGAATTTGCAGACAGATAAAGCGTCCATGCTAGACGAGGCAATCGAATACTTGAAGTCCCTTCAAATGCAACTTCAGGTTTTGGATTTTTTTGGTGTGTTCCATCCAAATTAAATATGAAAATGTTGTTTTGAAACTCAAGTGGGTTGCTTCAACGATGTGATCCAGATGATGTGGATGGGGAGTGGGATGGCATCGATGGTGTTTCCCGGGATGCAAAACTACATGTCGCGAATGGGGATGGGAATGGTGCCCCCGGCGTTGCCTTCTATGGGAATGCATTTACCAAGGCCTCCTCCTCCTCCTCCTCCTATGGTTAACCATCCTCCTCCTCCTCCAACAATGGCGGCTTCAACGCAGAGCCAAGCACCGTTGTTGAACCCTCTCATCAACTATCAGAACATGTTGCAAAACCCCAATTTCGCGGAGCAATTTGCCAGTTTCATGGGCTTCCACCCTATGCAAAATGCTTCCCAGGTTCTTTTCTTTTTCTTTTCTTTTTAGGAGTTTGTGATTGTGGGCCCAGGAAAGGTTTCGTATTCTAACCGTTAGTATTTTTGGTTTGGTTTTGCAGTACGTGAACCGTTTGGGTTCGCAGTCAGCGCCATTGAACCCGGTGTTCAACCCGCCACCAGCCAATGGCAGTGGTCCCTCGGCTTAAACGATATCCACAACCGAAAGCGCCACAAGGTCTAGAGCACTTTGGCCATTGTTTTGTTTTTTTTATTAATTTTTTTTTGCTACATTAATTATAGGCTCAAAGCAAACTCTTCTTTCTCTCAAATGGATGATGTATAAAAGCATATCATTCCCTTCCATTGTAGAATTGTACTCAAAAGAAGAAGAGGCACACCATAGGTTTTTTTTCCTTATAATTATAAAAGAAGCATATTATAGGTTTGGAATAGACAAATGAAGCATAAACA